TTCCAGAAAGACCTTTAACTTTTCGCTTGCAAAGAAGATGGCGGTTTGCGAAAAGGGCTTTCAACCGTAGAACACACTGACGCCGTAAGCGGCCAGAAGACAAGAACAACGGATAGCAACTGTATCGGTGCCACGCATTCATGTACTTCAGAAAAGAGTCGGATTCGATTCAGCTGAGAGCTGTGCCGGGCGCCTTGCACGAACGACTGCGGTATCAAGCTTGTCTACGTAGACCTGATCGAGAAAGTGAACAGAGACATCGCACATGACAGCAAACTTTTCCAGGATCCACGTCGAATCAACAACAGAGAGGCACACCAAAGAGACAGCGGCTTTCGTAAGCCTTCTGCGGCGGCATTGACATCGACAGAGAACGGTTCAACCATCTGCTGTTTGCAGATGACGTCATCATTTTTACCAAAGACCCGGCGGAACTCCGAACTGATTTAGTGAGCAGTTACAGAAGGAATCACGCACCATCAGTCTGGGCATGAACACCTGCAAGACGAAATGCATGCGCAGCAAGTACTGCCCGCCGGAGCCATCGGCATTGACGGGGACGAAGAAGAGAAAGTATTTATTATTATTAGCTACGTATAACTCAGTCACATAATGAACTACAATAACCACATAAACAATGAGATCAGCAGAAGAAGAAAGGCGGCACTGACAAGTTTCAATCACATCGAAACATCGCTGCTGAACAACTGGTTCGATTGCGTTGTTTTACCTGCCATGGTCAATAGTACGATGTGCTGGTCTGTCGCCAAGGCTGAGGGAAACAAACTGTGGTGACGTAAGGAATGATGAAAAGAAAAATATGCAATGTACCCCGTCGAAATCATGTAGCGAGAGTTCGGTGCCAAACTTGAGACTTTGGATGTACCGACAGCCGCTTACAACTCAAAGTTACGTTTGGCAAGCCATGTGGCTCATCTGAAGGACAACAAGTGGACATCTCGAGTTACCAACTGGATCCTCCTCGGCAGCTGATGTCCACTAGGTAGCCCAACAACACGCCGGGACGACGACAATGTTGCTAGGTCGATGGCGAAAACGAAGGGCAAAACACCGACAAGGGTGGCGGAAGGTCGACCTGCGTCTGCGGCGCGACCGTTGACAAAAATAAGTCGGACAGGAGGATGGAAAATATTTGAAAAGAAGTAAAACAGTCATTATAAGCTCTGATTTATAAGCAGATACGATAATTCTTTAAGTAATACTTTAATTCTAATTTCATACATCAGTAATGAAGACATCGGCTGCATAATGCATAGGAAAAATTGTTATGGCAAAGGCATGTGGATTCTACTTTTACTTAACCAAAGTACCGTTCATTTAACAACGCAGACTGCAGGTTTCCCATGACTATTTCATTTATTCAGTGTGATAGCAAGAAATTCGTCGCTTTTCAAGAGATAATCAATTCGCTCTTTTCCAGTTAGGGCGCTACTGCATTTTCTTTATTATATAAAATTATTTCAGCCCTGACTTGTCAAAAACGGTAATAATGAAAAGATTTACGGTACTTAAGCTAAAACCGTCGCAAACACTCATACTGAGTACTCGGGCAACTTGAGGCATGCCCAATGCAGCCCACGTCCAACACTGACGAAGAAAGCGAGAGAATTAATAAATGTGCATTAAACGAATATTTGCCTACCTTTGCAGAACAAAACGGAGTGTGCAAGTTATGTTATCTTCTTTAAATATCTGAGGCGATGATTTCAATGTTATTTATTTATAATTAGCAGTTTGTGATTGGTTGTTGTACTGTAACACTTTTGCTAAAACATGCATATTTAGTAGGTACTAGGTACAAGTCATACGGAAAAGCAGCATTAAAAAGGTTAACACGCAATGCAAAAAATTAATCTGTAGGATGATTGACCGGTACCGACGTTTCGGTTCGTGTCCCCTTCTTCAAGGCAAAGACGATAATACAGTTCGGAGACCGTCCGGGTTGCCTGCAGCAGATCATGTGTTTGGAGCACCGTCTCTCACTTCCAAACCTGCCGCCTGTTGCAGACATCCATCCGATCCGATCGATCTCAAGTCAGCGAACTCTGCTATCATCGTCGCCTTCAAGAAGGGCCGCCAAACAGGAGCCGAACCGTCGGTACCCGTCAATCATCCGACTGACCAGATTGTTTGTGCAGAGCATTAATAAACCGCCTTCACGCTGTTTTTCATCTCAACTTTAACGTGGATAATTTAAATTCCGCATTTTGGGGGATTTTTTTCACACGGCCCTGTAGCTGCTTCTGTTCAGTCTGTACCTGAAAGACGCTGTGACACTGTCTGTGAGGTCGCCTTAAAAAAGACATTTTTTTCGATACCTTGCCATCGCGTCAACAACAATTGTGTCGGAAATGCTTCCACCCAGACCGACTTCCAGGTCAAGTACTGGCACTGAATCAGCATGAATTTCCGAAGATATCCGATTCACCTTTTCGATTGTTTATATTTATTTTCCGTGTTTTGCCAAAAATGTATTTCTACTTCTTCCGGTTTCCATTCGAATCAGACAGTAAGAACCTTCGAAATCCACGGTGCCAAGCACCGATCAACGGGTGATACATCATTGAGTAGTTCTGCAGTCCGCCAGTGTTGTGTCGTACGCCGCCGCGGGCACTGAAATGCCTGTCCGACGAGTCGATGTCCGTCATAAACTCTAGCCACAGCAGCGCATTCGGCTTGCAAGCCGCTGCCACTCATCGTTACCTCTTCGTTTAATGTCGTAAAACAGGGCAGCAGACGTATGCGCGAAAGTAGACGCTGGCCGACACTCGCATAAATGTGAGTGTGAAACGAACAGTAGAATCATAAACTATATTACGACCGAATGTGCTTTTTAAAGCCGGATGAAGTAGTGCAGCGAATGCACGAAAGCCTCCCTCTACTGATGTTTTCACTTCAATCTTGAACTATGATTCATTTCTCAACATCGTACAGAAAGACCTGTTCGACTTTTCGCTGAGGTAAGGTCTAATGGTATGCCGAGTGAGTGCAGTGACTGCAGATAGAGTAATAAGCTTCAGATACGTGGATGGGTCGCGAAGGTGGTTGATCGATGGTGGTTGGTTAGGAAGGTGGTTGATGGATGAATAAGCAATTGCGGACAAGGCAGCATGGCAATTTAGCTGAAAGCTGGATGACAGGACTGCAACGTGGCAAACGCCTTTGGCCATTAAACAAACATGCTGTTAAATCCTACAAGCCATAGTCGATAGAGAGTTCGCTCGAGAAATTGAAGTTTTTCGACATATGGGCCACAGCACGCTGCATGGATCTACCGAGTCATTCGCCGAGTGGCAAGTTCTGTACAAGTCCAAATTTCAGTTCGGTTATAGGTTTAAGACTGTGCTTGCGGCATACTCCAAGGGACATGAATACCGTAGAAAATATGGCCAATTAAACGTTTTGTGCACGCTACGCAATAACCTGGTTATGGAAGATTTTGTTCATAACTTTACCTAGCTTTATTAGCTGAATTACTATTTTCATCAGGCAACTTTTAAACCATTCTCAATTCAAGCCCGATCAGTTTCTTGTGTTACGGTTTGAGTACAATTCCGATGAACTCCTACAGAAGAGAGGACTTTGACCAATGAACGATGCGCCTCATTAATGACAAGCTTCGGGACGCTACATTGCATTCAAGAATAGTATGTATACGTGACAATTTTACTGGTTCTCAGTACTGAAACACGTCGGCGAACTGCTAAAGATCTTTCTTCCGTGTATGCATTTTTGACAAATAAGCTGAAACCGTCAATCATTAAACTCAAGATTCATCTGTTGCAAGGTTCATTCATTTTTACTCACTTTAAACAGATAATACTGGACAAGGTTCGCAACACGGCAGTTTCACCCAACCTCGATTATGAGCCGCTTTTCCCAGATCAAGAGATCATAAAGGCAACGGTTTGGACATGTGAAGAGGATGGACCATAGATGTGGTAGACGAAATCTCTTTGAATTGCCACAGAGAACACCACCTCGGGTCAGGTCGTGGACCAGACCGAAGGGTTGGCGCAGTTATGCCATGGCACGAAGTCATTTCGGCTTGTTTATTTGGTAGTCGGTAGAACTTCTTCAGGGGGTCGTTTAAATGCCGTCGTTGGGGATTTTTGAAAACGGATGAATAAACTTGAGTTATGTTATACCTATGCATAAAAGCAGCACTTTTTGAGGGGTGATCATCAGGTAAACTTTAGAGCATGTGTTCTACTGCTGGATAAATCTTTCGTTTACAATCGCATCTTTCAATTATACTATATGCTAGTTTCCGTAACTTATTCCAGACCATCAATGCAAGATCATAAAGCAGTTCGCTGAGCGACCCTATTGATCTTTGTCATAAGCTATATCGACAGGAATAAACCTGTCGACCAGACTACAAACTTCCCAATCGCTGGAAAATTCTCGGAACCCAGTGCCGTGCAATCTACGTACCTTCTACTGCCACTACTACCAAAACAGAGTTATCGCGCCATTCGACTTTGCCTTTTCCTTTTAAGGTAATGAGAAATTCCACCGAGAATGAGAAAGTGGTGCCAACCGATTATGGAAGAGTTATTACTTATAGTAGAGTAATCCGTCATTTTTGTATGTATGTATATGAACTAGGTGTTGTCTAGTTAGTAAAGCTGCTTGTTTGCTGGATGCGTCGTGCGCTGATAGCTAGTCATAAACTTGAACTTGACTCTGAAAAAGAAACATAATTCCGGAATGACAAACGACGAGACTGGAAACGGATGTGAG